AGCGGGGCCAACAGGCATTTGGGCAGGACACTGGGGGAGACACCCGAGGCCACAGCAGCCAGGTGACCCGCTACGTGACCTTGTCAGAAGCCTCCCCGCCCCCACCCCCATCCCAGGGACCCTGGGCCACCCACACTCCTGTGGCTCTCACAGGCACCAACGCCAAGACTCGGCTCTCCCTGGCCTCACCCTGCCAGGGGCACCCAGGGCTCATCCAGGTGTGCACTCACCTGCACAGGCCCTGCTGCTGGCGCTGGCCCGGCCCGCCTCCCAGAGCCACCTGATTCCCCAAGAGTCACCCTATCTTCCTCTTCAAAGGTTTGTGGGGAGCCAAGTGAGACGATCAGCACACGGCTTCTTCCCAGGGGCTTCTGGGAAAGCAGGGCCTGTGTCAACAGGCCCCGGGAGCAGCCTGCTGTGTATGAAGGCGAAGCCTGGAAAGGCTGCAAATAACTCACTGCCCCTGAAGATCCAGAGGCCCACAAAAAGCCCTGATCAAGCCGTACCTGATCTCTATACTGCGCCCAGACCATTTCAGCTACATGGCCAGTATAGCTCAGAGCTGGGTCTTTTGTTCATCACATTCAAAAGTGTCCCGTTGCCCCGGGTGCCTCACCCACCCCAGGCTGGGAGAGGGGCTTTCTCGGGCGCCAGCAGCCCTCAGCTCCATCACAGCCCTCCTCAGCCTGCACCCGGCGTCTGTGTGTCCTTCCGGACCTACCACCGTGTGCTCCCTGGTAGCCGGGGACATTTATGACTCACGCCCGAGTCTCAGCCCTCACCCAGGCCAGGGCGTGAACAGGAGCCCAGGGGATGGGGCCTGTGGGATGAGACAGGCATGTGACAGCGCCCAGCACTCGAGGCCTCCAGGCCAGGCCTCCCAGCGTTCCCAGGTCACTCCCCCTGCCCGCCTCCCTCCCTCCATTCTCTGCCAGCGCGGGCTGCTCCCTCCGAAAGTGGACATGGTGGGGCCTCTGCCATAACCTCCATCACCTGGCTCACACCTGCCAGGTGGGGGATCCCGAGCCCCCTCCTCGCCCGCCTAAGGGACGCTAATTCTCATGCTCTCCACCCCCAAACTCAGACCTCAGAGCAGACTCTCTCCCAGCTCTGGACTCGAATATCCCAGCTGCCTACTCAACACCTCCCATGGCACCTGAGTGCCAACAGCTTCCTGCTCTGAGAACAAAATCCAACCCCCTACCAACCCCCTAGACTCCCTGCAGCCTGGCTCTGCCACCCTCTGGATCTCATCTCACACCACCTCGGCTCCCCCATGCTCTCTGCTCCAGCCACCCAGGCCTCTGGCGCTCCTCCATCACGCCAGGCTGTTCTGCCTCCGGGCCTTTGCACATGCTGTCCCCTCTCCCTGGGACAGGGGCTTCTGGCTTCTGCAGGCAGAAAGTGATCCATACATGGTTTCTATCATGATCATTGGCTCAAGTGCAATTCAGTTATTCGGTCGGATTCACATCTACTCCTCACTGGCCTCCTCGGAAATGGGTGTGGGATAGAGGAACGTGGTGAGATAGCTCCCTCTAAGAAACCTACTCTCCGCCAGATGCCTCTTCCAGAAAGATCGGGTTACAGGCCAGCCAGGTCACAGGCTTTCCCTCAACTTGGCCAGAGAGAGAAGCGCCGCGGGTCCCAGGGGGAGGTCAGGCCATTCTGCACCTCCCAGACCAGGGTCCTGGGTCCCATCTCCTCTGCGCCCCCGGGAGGCCCCACGCTGACCTCTGTGGGCAGGTGGGGGTCTGGGATGAGCGGTGGGAGTGAGAAAGCAGGTGGGGGAGCTTGTGGTGGCCCCCACCACCTGGAGCTGTCCCGTGGGTGACAATGTACACGCCCCCTGCCTACCACTGTCTCCTTTGCTTGTTTTAAGGGGACACCTCTCCAGAAGGCTCTGGACTCCTGACCTGCCAAACCAGTTCCTTCTAATGGACAGTCACCAGCTCCAACTGAAAGTGAACTCCTGGCTGCCTGGCTCTGGCCGGGGTCACGGGAGAGAGAACTGCTCGGCCCTCAGCCTGGATAGGAACAGGCGCCCCAAGCTCCTTCCGCACACACTCCCCAAGCTCTTCTCCCGCCGGCGGGGGCGGGACCGGCACTAGGAAGTGCAAACACACACAAAGGTGCCGCGCCCTGTGCACGAATTAATGACTTGATTCTCCCAGTAACCCTAGGAAAAGGCAGCAACGCCCGGCCGGCGAGGCCCAGTGGTTGAGCATCGACCTATGAACCAAAAGGTCACAGCTGGATTCCCGGTCAGGGCACATGCCCGGTTGCAGGCTGGATCCCCAGTGGGGGGCGTGCAGGAGGCCGCTGATCAAGGACGCTCTCCTCATTGATGTTTCTCTCTCTCTCTCCCTCTCCCTTCCTCTCTGGAGGGGAAGCTGTTCCTCCCTTAATATATATACACGTACATTAAGATTGTCCGTACTTTACAGGTGGGGAAATCAAGGCACAGAATGGCTAGCAACTCAGGGTCACAGGGCCAGCTGTTAGACACGGCACGAGGACACTTCCCTCTGAACCGCAGGACAGACTGCCGCTTACGACACCTACGTGAGAAGCGAGGAAACGGGTGGAGAAGTGACTTGGGGAGAGTCCTCAGCCAGGTCCCCCGCCTTCCAGGGCCCCAGAAACCTGGCCCGGGGCCAGAGTCCCAGGAGCCGCACAATAAGGGCTCTGGGGCCGGACTTGGGATGGCGGGCCACCCGCAGAGCCCCGCACACACGAGTGTCTTTGAGGCTATTCCCACCCCCACGGTGCCTGGCCCAGATGCACCCAGGAGGCCCGGGCGCCTCGGGATGCCTGTGACACATCTTCCTCGGGTACCAACCCTACTCAGCGGGTTGAGGGAAAAGCAGTTTAGCTGAAAAGAAACGGAAAGCATCATTTTCATTCCCCCATCTCGTTTCACGCGGTCTGAAGGGCAGTCACTGGCAGGCTCCAGTGTGTCCACCGAAGGCGACCTCGTGCCCTGGGGAGAGGCAGTGCCCGGAGGGGAAGGTGCGGACGCTGCAGCCACAGCTGCCACCAAGGCCCGGCTCTCCACTCACTGGCCCTGGGACCTCCCTGCCTCGGTTTCCTCACCTGTAAAAGGGGACAATGACTGTCCCTGCCTCCTGAGGCTGTGGTGAGGGAGGAAGGAGACCATCGCGCGTGCTGTGAGGGCTTGCCAGCCCAGCGACAGTGACCATTCTGGGAAGGACGGCCGACAGGGCCACGTTAGGGTCAGGAGGCTGAGTCCCCGAGAGGGAAGGTCACCTGCTCACAAACAGTTCTCTGACTCCTCCTGCTGCCTCTGTGCCTCAGTTTCCCCATCAGTGAAAGTGGGTACAAACAGGGAATGCGATGGGTTTTAAATGTGGTGAGAGACGCGCACCGGGCACCTCTGGGTGGCTGAGCTCTTGCTGTCCTCTCTCTAACCGAGCCACCGAGCAACAGGTGACGGTGTGCCCAGGAGGAATGCCATACGTCCATGGGGTCTCTACTGAAGTCGGTTCCCAGTCCGTAAAAGATCTCAATGAGGTCAGCTCTGAATGACTTAAGGACATTATCTGAGTCAGCTGTACCAGCTCCACTGTCAGCTCCTCCACAGGCATCTCCACCCCCTTACATGCGAGTTCCCTCCAGCCTTTGTGTGACCCAAAGCACCATACCCTTCCCTGCCTATCTCCTGTCCATCTTCCCCCTCGATGGTCGCCGCCTCCAGGAAGCCCTCCTTGACCACTCAGGTGCCCCTGGCTTCTCTCTGTCACACAGAGAGCGGACTCTGGGTCCCTGTGGGCAGGGCCCAAGGAGGTGGCTGTCCACAGGGCCAGCTGGGCCCTGGCCAGCGCCCTGTGTCCCTTTCCACCCCCCACTACCTCCCCTCCCCCGTGCTGGCTTGAGGAATGGTTTGTCACCACATTCAGGGAGGAACTCACAAACAAGATTCTAAAACTGCCAGCGGAGACCATCCGAAGATGTTTACTGTTGAGTCCTAAGTTTTGAGTTCTCACCTGGACAAATGCAGCACTGCCCTCCACAGCCCTCTCTGGAATCAACACGGCCCCCAAGTCTGGGCCCTGTACCCCGCTCTCCCCCTCCCCACCGGACGGACAAGGACGCACAGGAATTCCCCCTCTGGCTGGCGGTCTCTTGGAGGATTCCGTGCCCCCACCCTGCCACCCACACCTC